TTGGGGGATGTAGGGGAGGGGTGTTGAGGGCTGTAGGGGAGTGATATTGAGGGGTGTAGGGGTGAAGAGAGGTGTTTATTTCTGAAAAAAAAATTGTCGTTTTCTGAAGGGGGGGGCTTAGGCCTCGGCCTCGTCATCCGCAACCCCCCCACCTGCTTGTGTTTTGGAACCATGCCCGACGGTCCAAAAAGGGGGTAGAACGGGGGTAGGGGGGCGTAGAGTGGCGCTCTAACGGTGCTCTACCCGCTCTTCTCTGGTTCCTTGGTCCACAAGGCGGCTCTCTGTCGCAATATAAATCATCAAACAGAGCTGCCCAGTAAACCGTAGGCAGAGAGGGAGAAGAGGAGAAGAGGACAACAAACGAGGGGCTGTGACAAACTGTTGTATATGTACGAAAACAGGGTAGTCTGGCCAATCGTCCACGTCCACAAGGCGGTTCTCTGTCACAATATGTATATGTCTACTACATTCTATTCAAGTTCTTCTGGTCGGGTGTTATGCTACGTCGTGACCTATCCCGACCGGATTCTGCCCATCTGTGAGATGGGCCGTACGATAAGCAGCGAATTTCGCGGTCTCTGTGACGGCTCGCCTGAAAATGCGACTGAATAAACGGAAACTACAGGTGGCGCCACTACTCACCCTGTAAGTAAAAAACGAAACCGCGTAAAAAAATGAAATGCGCTGGGCCCGGTACACCGCCCACAAGCTGTCACAAAGAGGCGGGAAAAGAAAGGCAGATGGAAGGAAAAAAAACAATGAAAACGGGCCGATACTGAGTCTCGACGCACCACTCAGTCGTCGAGGCCCAGTACCGGCCCGTTCCGCTTCTTTTTTTTGTTGGTGCAATTTTTCAGACAGGATGGCAGGGACCTGTGGATTCTTGAAACATCAACAAGCCCTCCCAGGTGAAGCACGGCCTCGGCTCATCCCATCCCATTGCATATGGCGACAGCTGTTTGAACTCACCATCCAACTTGCCATTGGGCTGCGTTGAAACAATGGTCGTGG